ATCCATGTCTCTCCAGTTTTGAGATTTTATCATGACTGAAGAAATATAGTTTGAAATAAATGGAGCTCTTTATGCCTAAGTCTTTTGGCAGCATCTAGGAGGAAAATATATTCCATACCTCAAGAGCAGGAATAGAGATGATTTTAAAAGTCACTACTACAGTAATAATTTTTATAATATACTTGCAATATTCCAATGTTAATCTCCTTCTCAGCCATTTAATGAATCTTAATCAGTGTAAAGTATCTAATTCAGAATCATTTTCCCTGGGTGTGTTCAGAAGGAGTTTTGGTTGGTTTAAGTGTTAGAGAAATGTCAACATGCCTTTTCCACCTTCCCCAGAGGTATAAAAAGAGGACATCGATGGCATGATAACATTTCCATTATGTGAGTTATGGGTACAAATGGTAGCAAATTTCAACAGTGGAATAAAAGATTGGCATGAAGAAAGAGCTAGGAAAAAGTGTGAAAAGAAAAGCAGAGTGAAACTGGAACAGTTAAAGAAACACAGCTTTAATAACTGGCAAAAGCATAATTAGCCATTGTGATTCTGTTCTTAATTACTCTGAGTAGTTTTAAGGAGCCAGTAAAATACAAAGATGGCAAAAAGCCATTAACAAATATGTATTATCTTTCTGTGTTCAGGTCTATCTTACAGCAGCTGTTTTTGAGCTTGACTTTTCCACGTTTCCTTGAGGCAGGTAAGTCAAGAGAATGTTAAAGAGTCAACTTTGAGTGAAGTAGAAGGTAAGAATCTAGGCTGGGGGCCATACTTGGATCTCCCCATTGCATCTTGGATGTGAAAATGTCATTGTTTATTTATTTATTTTCTTCTTTCTGTCAGCTGACATGGAAGATGATGATTTCGGTGCCGCCCTGCCTAAAACAAGCTGCATCACTGAGCAAACTCAGTATTTCTTTGAAAATGATGATAAATCTTTTGGTGGAATTGTAGACTGTATAAACTGCTCCAGGTAAATATTCTTCAGTATAAATAATGACTTTCGGATATTCACTTATTTCACAAAAGTTAATGACACTTTTAAAAGAACAAATAATATATTTTGGATTAATTACACCAAACTTACATAAACAGGACAGAGAAGTATACAGGCAGTAAAATGATAAATTGCATTCTCTTTGTATCTGTTCAGAATGATTTTTAATTGTAATAATTAAGGAATTATAGGAAACTGAGTAAAATTTTAGGATTAGTCTGTATATGCTCCATAAAAATTGTATTTCTATCTTGTTTACAATTTGTTATATTTTATAGTGTGAACTTAAAGGTATTCTGCAATATTCAGAATATTTAGCCTGGTTATGTACTGGAATTTTTGACAGTCAAGAAGATTATGCAATTTGTCTTTAAATTTACCTTCTAGTCAATAGTGCTCATGATTTAAGATCCTGGGTCTTATTAAGCCAACCATGCTGTTTTCTTTTGTCATGGAAAGAATTACTCTTCAAGTTCCATTTTCCTGTTCAAGATGTTGTTTAATGTTGTTGTGGTTTAACCCCAGCTGGCATCTGAACACCACAAAACCACTCCCTCCCTCCCTCCCAGGTAGGGTGGGGGAGAGAGTCGGAAGGGTAAAAGTGTGAAAACACACAGCTTGAAATAAAAACAGTTTAATAAGTATAGCAAAAGCTGTGCACACAAGGAAAACAAGACAAAGAAGTCATTCACCACTTCCCCCAGCAGGCAGGTGTCCAGCCATCTCCAGGAAAGCAGGGCTCCAACACATGTAACGGTTACTTGGGAAGACAGATGCCATCACTCTGAACGTTCCCCCTTCCTTCTTCTTCCCCCAGCTCTATATGCTGAGCATGACATCATATGGTATGGAATATCCCTTTGGTAGGTTGGGGTCAGCTGTCCCAGCTGTGTCCCCTCCCAACTTGTTGTGCACCCCCAGCCTACTTGCTGGTGGGTGGGGTGAGAAGCAGGAAAAGTCTTCACCCTGTGTAAGCACTGCTCAGCAATAATGAAAACATCCCTGTACTATCAACATGGTTTTCAGCACAAATACAAAACGTAGCCCCATACTAGCTACTATTCAATACACAGCATCCGTACTCTAAGCCTCTTCCTCTCCCTTCTTACAGAAAGGTTTGTATGTTGGGGTTTTGTTTGTTTGGTTTAGGTTTTGGGGGTTTTCTCATTGTTGTTAGTGGAAGAGTTGATGCAGAACTGATTGTATTTCTCAGTACAGCTACTGCTGTAGCAGTACAGACCTAACTATTAAGTCAATTGAAGTCATTCTGTGCCCTTTTCCATTTTTTCCACTAAGTCATGTTGAAAGGAGGAACCATGGAAATGTCAGAAAGGTTACAAAATTTGTTATAAATGTTTCTTGCTGTTCATTAATGGAAAAGATAAACAGTAGAAGGCAGTCCAAATCTGGGAAGTTGGATTACTTTTTATTCCAATACTGTGTGTCCTTCTCAAATACGGATTTCCTTGCCTCATTTAAACATAGATTTTTGTTGGCTTTTTTTCCAGACTTTATCATGCAGAGAAGATTTCAAACACCAATCTAGTATTCATTATTAGTGACAGCCAACTGCTGTGCCGCTCCTGTGACCCAAAGCCACTGATGCAAGCGGAGAAGCCGGGTATCCTTTAAAATCACATTATTTAGTAGTGTGGATTGATTTTTGGCTATGATCTACTGGAATATATTTGGGGAATTAAATGTCATGTTTATGTACATATTAGCAGCATGCTTGCCATTGGAGTACTTGAAGCAGCAAATATTTGTGGATAATAGCACAAATATCTGAGGCAGCAGTCACTGTAGTAGAGAGCGAAGCTGTTACTTGTGAGGCTGTAAACAGAAATGGGCTCACGGGAACTTTATGAAGTTTCCAAAAGGCAGATGCAAAGTCTTGGATCCAGGACAGCACAATGACATGCAGCTGGACAGGCTGGGTGCTGAGTGACTAGAAACAACTTTGCAGAAAAGGACTTGAGGATCATAATGGACAAGAAGTTGAACATCAATTTGTGCTGTGTCTTGCAATGAAGAGACATCCAGGTGACATCCTGGGCTACGTTAGCAAGAGTGTAGTCAGCAGGTTGGGAGAATTGATCCATCCCATCTCTTCAGCACTGGGAGACCACAGCTGGAGTGGTGTGTACAGGTTGAGGCTCCCCAGTACCACACGTTCGTACTGGCAGAATTCCAGTGAAGGGCTACCAAGGTGGTTGGTGTCTGGAGCACAGGACAAGCAAGGGGTGCATGAGAGGCCTGGGTTTGTTCAGCCTTTAGAAAAGACAACGGTGTGTCTGTCCATAGAAATAACAAAAAAGTGCAACACTAAGGTAAGAGCGTTGGGTCATAAAAAGTTGGGATGCTGCACTGGTGCCTGCAACACTGAGGTGAAGTGAGGGAAGCACTTTAGTGTGTGCTGACTGCCAGTGAGAACTGCTTACTTCTTGGGGAAACTGCTTGGGAAAGGCTAGACCTTATCCGGCTGCTAGCATAGAATTTCCTCAGGACTAGCTGGAGACATAGGTGTCATGCATGCTGAGCAGAGTCCTTGCAACACATGCATTATAATTAAGAGGATGTGAAAGGTCGTTCTAATTGACAACCACCTTCATGCTAATCTCTGTGCCTTTAGCTTGTTCAATAGATACCTGTAGGTGATGGTGATGGAAATATGTAAAACATACACATATTCTAGGCCAGGAGAAATTCACCTCAGTTTTTCTCTGCTACATATGCTTGAGGATAGCATGCCAGAGATGGTAAATCAAATCATATTTTATTATGACAGAATACAGAAAACAATTAGTAATACCTTTGTTCATGTCAGGAAGTTAGTTGAGACAGCCTCTCTTACTCCTGAAAGAAAAGCAGATGGTGGTACAGATGAGACTGATTCTTTGCACAAGCAATGCATTCATTGCCACCTTAATAAAACTGGAATTCAATCTACGCTTGAGCTAAAAAGGAAGTTACATTGGGTTGAAAGCAATATCCATATCATCACAGAACTATGTAAACACAGCCTAATATTCTAATAGGCTCCAGCCCATGACAGTTTGATTAACTGTTGCCACTGTCTGAATTTATAGACGGCACTCGCTGTAGAGAATGGAGCACGTTTGATGGGAAATGGGAACATGACTTGCATTGCGCTGTGGGGCCCAAACCTCCTAGAAAGCAGTAAATGACCTCAGATGACAGCCAGAGCATCTGGGTGGGCTTATATTGACTAAATGGACTACTTTCTGTTCCAACTGTGCAGTACTAAGCTATTCTCTCTATTCTGTAACTAAGGTACATTGTGAAATGCAGATGTAGCATAACATCACACAGGGAAACAGAATGACCTTTGGGTGCCATTCAGATGGTTATTATTAGACTCTGCTTCCTTCTGCCTGGTACAGCTTTGCTTGTGCTCATGGTCTTTTAGAATATTGCTACGTTTTGACTTCCCTTTCAGCTGGGCCCCGGCGGAGGAAAGGGGAGGTGAGTCTGATAACATCCGAATGAAGACAGATGTAGATCTGTAGAACTAAATTCCCTGTCTTCTGGCTTTCTCTTCCATTGGGCATCTCCACTCATTGCAATGAAGGTGGTGTAGTACTCCACAGTAGTGCATGAATAAGATTGCTTCAAGTATAAGTTAGAGCTACTAAGATAAGTAAAGTTTTGCTGCTCAATTTTTATAAAACAGTCTAGCTTTAGTGTGTCTACTACCAACAGTGGAATAAAATAAAGCTTAACAAACTCGAGTGATAATATAGACAGGTTTCCGCAGAAGGTGGTTTTGCAGTTTACCGTATCTGTGTCTTTCAAGTATGCTGCAATGACTTGTATCTCTTGCTGTCCTGTGGCAAATCTGAAGTATAGTGTTTTACACTTAAATATCAGCAATTGCACATTTCAGAGACATAAGACGATGCATTACCTCACCTTTACGGTTAGCTAATAAATAGCATGTCACTGCTCCCTTTTCTATACTGAGGTTCTGCTGTTCATTTGGACAGCGTTTTCTGTCTCCCTCCATCACTGAAATGCTAATGAGTTCTGATCAGATTTTCAGTCATTTACTAGCAAAGCCTACAGTGGGATGATCTTGTCTATGGCCCTTGGGATAATATAGGTGTACACATAATCAAAACAGTAGTTTTTATAGGCCTTTTCTGCTATCTTCAGCATTACTTTTCCAAACAGGCTTCCTCGCTTTTACTGTGTATCATTTCAGCAGAGTAACTCTAGATAGTGGTATCATACGCTGTAACCAATCAGCACCACTGAAAGTTTACTATTTTATCAAATATTTTCTGTAATATTTATGCAATGGTAACAAAAGCAATACAGAAAATCTTATAAAAAAACCCAACTTTTATTTTTACTTTTGTATGGTTTTGGAAGTATTGGTTCTAAAAATTCATGCAGGATATTTATTTTCTTTAATAAAGCAGTGTTAAAAAGTGGTATTTGATTTCTGTTTATCTAGGGGTGTTGGTTCGGTTTGGTTTTCTTTAATTTAAGCAAGGAACTGTGACTATTGATGTTTATTTCAGTACTATCTGAATTAGCATAAAACTTCTCCCACAAAAGTAAAACCAGAATGTTAGTCATGCTAATGTGCGATGCATGAAAAGCAGTCATGCTCCTTAACCAGAGAAACAGATGAAGGGCCAAATCCTTGTGAAATGGTCAAACAACCTAGATACAGAAAGGGTCCTGATGTCTGTTTTGATGAAGCCAAACAGGTAAAATTGAACTTCTAAAACTTCAGGACTACCTTTAAAAACAAGTGTAAAGCTGTTTTAGAAAAGTGAAAGCTATGTTTAAATGTACCTTGGTGCCTGGTAACTTATCTGTCAATAAACATACTGTTCACTCTAGACCATAGTCACTCTATTTCAAGTATCCCATAATTGACATAAAATTAACAGCTGCTTTCTTATCTGCCTTTCCTATAACCATTGCACTTTCACACATGATTCCCACTAAAAAAACCCATCAGCGAGCATAATACTGATGGTCTTTGTGTGGTGCTATGAAATTGAGTTCTTCTAAGGCTTTCACAACAGGATGATAATCTTGGCTTAGAAGTAGTATTTTTTGTGACATTGTTTCCAAATATTATTTAAGGTGTTGATAAATGTTTAAGAACATTGTAATTGGTTTACAGTGTTGATCTTCTTAGAAATTCTACAAATGTGAACTCAGGTCACATTCTTAACAGGTATAAAAGTGCACTGCTTTACTGAAGTAGCAAAACTGCTGTTTACTACTCCCTGTATTGTATACATCACAGTTTCGATGGAGAAAAATTATAATTGTGCCACATATATAATTTATTTTTAATATAATCTCTGTGTTACCCTTCAAAATACTGTATGAAAGAGAATATGTTGAATTCAAATTGTTCAGAATAAATTTCAAAACAGAAGGTACTGAACAGGGAAGTGTTTCCCAATATATGAAATAAATATTTTTAAAATGTATTTGTAGTGCTTCATCACATTTATGCAAAGGGAAGATTGTCCAAAACTAGTGCAGTTAATTGGTTACAACTGCTGGGTACCAGGTTTTGATCCAGTGTATTCTCTGCTTTTCTTTAATGAGGTATAATGATTGAGGTGTCTGTAGTGTTAAAAAAGTCCAGACAGTTGGTATTTGACGTGTTTTTCTATTCACCAAATTGTGCTTTAAAAAGGAAGTCTTCTTACTGGCCAACAAAGGTTAAACAAAGTTGAAAAATCATCCAAAAGCTATTTTGGCCATTGTAAATATTCCAAGTCCTCCCGATACGATCATGTGTGAAAGTACAACTCTTGCTCACTAGCTTGATGTGCTAATCAGTGTGTAAGTCATGTGTTTTGTAACAGTGGATTGTTTTGGTTAAGTTTATTTGCAAAATTTGCCGTGAATCTCTTGCTCTTGGGTGGATGCTTTCACATTAACTCTGCTAACTGCCAGCAATCTGCATGATATCTCATCTTGTATGTCTTTTTTTCTGTGTTTTCTTTCCTTTCCTCTACTTGCTACTTTGCCCGTTATTAATAGGATCAGCCTATATGCACAACGAGTCGTGCCTCTGCCATGACGTCTGCTCCTATCTTCATTTTTCTGCAAGTTTTCATGTGGTGTGGATGGTCAGTTACTTTCTCTAATTTTTTGTTTCGTTCTTGGCTTAAAAAATTAGCAGACTTTTTTACTTACTAAGCATACAAAAGAAAACAGAATGAAACGAGTCCCAAAAGCAACAATCTGGAGCAAATTACCATTGCAATATTAAGGGAAATTAAATATGAAAAAAAACCTGTCTGGTGCCTTCTAAATCAGAATTACGGAACTCAAGAGCCTCTCCCATAGCAAATACAAGAACACGGGAACCTGTTGGGTTGATATGGTCGGCTCTTTGAGACTGAACATGTACCAACTGAGTCAGTGTCATTGCCTTCAAAACATTGTCCCTTGTCCCTGGTAAATTGAAAACAGAAGAAGAAAGTTTTCTATACAAAACCAAATAAAGGTACAAAGTAATTAGAAGAGACTATGACACCTCTGATATTAAAACTGTACTTAGGGATAGCAAAGATGAGTGATATGTGTAAGAATAATGAGTGTTGCTATTGAGAAAAATAAGGAGTTTTCACTGCATTCAGTGTATCACAAATGATGGAAGGTAATACAGTGCGTTATTCGGTTAAACTATGAATTGAGTAAAGATTTTTTTACTTCCTAATTTTTTGCAACCTTAACGTTTTCATTGCCTAACTACAGCAGAAAGTGGGGGGTTTTCTTCCATTGAAATACATGGATAGCTGAAGTTCTGCATGTTGGCGTAGTGCAGGCTCTGGGGTTCATAAAGAATGCCATGGCATTTTAGGCTGTGTTGCATTTAATAGTGTGAGTGTGCCCTGCTGTGCTAGTGACATGTACACAAGAGAACTGCTGATCCAATGAGAATAAAATTCATGACCTTGTACACTGGAGGGGTTTCTAATCAATATTATTACTCAGAAAACCACTAGAGGGAGATACTAACTTATCTATGAAAGTAAAGCCAACTGAGATGCAGAAATCGAACCTTACAAGTAATTTTTCATAGTTAATGTAGTAAGATATTAAACATTCTAACAATTTAGAACACTTATATTCTCAATAATTGATATTCTCTTTATACTTGGAGAAAGGCTTAATTAATATCACTCAAACATCATTGAAAAAAAAAGCTTGAAGTTCTGTTTAACAGCTGTATTTGAGTTAATTTTGAAATTTCCTATTCTACATTTAAATTATCTAATTTCTAGCAAACCTAGGAACTAGCATGGACATGGCTGAAGGTTATAAGGAAGTGTGAAAGTCCCTCCCCTAAGCCAGTGGTATTTCACATTAAAATCTAGAAGATTAACATCTCATGTTCTTACTCATGCAATTTGCTCTGCAAGTAAGCTTATTTTAATTAAAAAGCTACTGTCCAATAGAAATAAAGCAGCAGAGACTCACCTTGAGATAAATTCTTTATGCACAGAATGGTCTTTCTGCCCAAGTAGTCAAACGAAAATATTGGGAAACTCACAAAATATCATTTTAGCTGATAGATTTTTGGCAGCAGGAAGTTATGAAGGTAATTTTGTTCATCCATCCTGTTTTTAATAACTTTGTGATTTTAGAAATGGGTTCTCACTGGACATTGATCTGTGTAGTTTTATTAAAATCACTGAAGCCAACACAGACACAAACCAACTGATCAGGTTCCATAATGGCAGCTTTTTTTTTTCTTTTTCATCAAGGAAAACAAAATAGTCTTTATCACCCTCCTTCAAGAGCTTGCTTTTACTTTGTACCTGCACACTGGTTTTGTTTGCCATGCCTGAGAATAAAGAGAAAAACTACAAGCTTTTAGCCCCTTCTAGGAATGTTTTATTTCCCTCAGCTCCCAGGGATGTCAGTGGGAGCTTTGAGGGTGGTTAGCAGCCCAGACAACTGTATACATCTCGATGGGACTGGCTGTATCCCTGATCTGTGTGTGGGTAGCTGGACAGCTTTGCCAGCTTTGTGTGGTAGTTCAAGCAAAGGAGGGTAACACAAAATTTATGAAAGACCATGCACGGGAACTTGAAATGAGTCTTGAGTAAAAGCAAAGGTATTCTCTATGCAATATGAAGCATTTAAAATATATGCCTATAAAAGGTATAACTTTGAGGTAACCAGTTGATATCCAAGGCCGGATCAGAAGCTGTTGTTTTATCCTTGGTATAGTCGGTGTAGCACAATGGGTTCTGATAAATGATTAAGGTTTCAGGACAAAGTTTTAGTACATTGAATAGTTTCAGTGTACTTCTAAAGGAGTAACAAGTATGTGTATAGACTTAGACATGTGTGTATATGTACGTATTTGTATTTCCATGTGTCTTTAAAACTTTGGAGCAGCACTGCCTTCAAGGAATTGTTGATATATAGCAATGAATATGGGAAGTTGTTGATACTTAACAATGAATATGTGGTTTTATAAAAGCATTCATTTCCATTCTGCAAGTGCTGAATAATTTTAATAGTGTGCGAATGTAATAACCCTCTCTAGAGTTATCCTAGTAAGGCATGATATGAAGGAGGTGACATTTGGATTTGACGCATCTCTACCTCAAGCATTCAAGGCAATTTGGCGTGTGACTTATTAATGCAAGACATTTCCGATACACTTCTGATGAAATGAAACTGGCTAAAAAGGATTCTTTCCAATTTATTTTCCATTTTTTTTCTCTCTTCAAAGAGAAATAATACACAGAATATTTTTTAGAAGACAACAAAAAAAAGGACATCCCCAACTAATCTTTTGGTTATTCAGGTTTTCTGCATGGCTAATGTAGTAGTGACTAATGTAATGGGCTGGAAAACTTCAGTGAAACTGTTTAAAAATAGTTCAGTGTTTAACTGCAGTGGCAGAGGTAAAGATAAGATAGGGTAAAGATAAGATAAAATGATGCTATGTAATTTGTTATAAGAAATTTTATAAGAAATATCAAAAATAACATTTACAGGAAACAGCTGAGTAGTTTTCTTGAAGCTCAGGAATAGGGGAAATGTTTTCAAAAAATACATTTTGAAGACCATTCAAAACGGACGTTTTGCTCAATCTGGTTCCACTTTAATTATGAGATCCCACTCATTTCCATAAAACTGTTGATTTTTTGAGTTTATGTAAATCAGCATGTAATGAGACTTCCTTCTCAATTTTTTTTTAAGTTTACATTTCTTGTGATTTTCATGAGAGTTAAAGCACACAAGAAAATTCCGATGTCAAATGCTGGGGAGGAAAAGGTAATTTAGATAGGATTTGCTGTACCTTCTTTGCCACTGCTATTGTTGTCTTGGCTTAGGACACAAAGCATAACTGATTCCAGGGAGAACATTTAGAAATTGTTCTTGGCAGAAATGCTGTTTTACCACTGTAAATTGGTCTACAAAACCTCAGAAATTCAATGTGACACTGATTAATATGAGGTTAAAATCTCACCAACCTTGAAATCATAGAATCACAGAATGATTTGGGTTGGAAGGGACCTTAAACATCATCTACTTCCGAGCCCCCTGCCATGGGGGCTATAAACCTTGTGTATAAACCAAGAGTATAAACCTCATATCCTTTTGTCTAGTAGAGGTTAACTCTGTCCTTCATAATAAGAAGATGCCTCTACTGCATGAGGCTTCCAACATATTCTCCACTGTTGTGAATCCTTTAAAATTTTTCTGTGTAGTCTTAGGAAGAGAGCAAGAAATATTAAAATATTCATTTTCAACCAGTAGAAATTTTACATAGTATAACTGTTGAATGTAAAAGTAGTGCCCATAAATTGTGATGCAGTTTAAAAAAAAAATAAAAAAAGCAAATAAAAATGGGCAACTGTTTATTTTGGGGTTTGGGTTTGGGTGGTTTTGGGTTTGGGTTTTTTTTCCAAGTACATAAAGCAATAGGATTAATTAATCAACATAATTTGTCCAATGTTTGGTCTTATGCAAAGATGACAGGAAAGCTGAATAATGTGAAATTCTATATGAGGTCAATATATTCTGTATCCATACTGGATGCCATTTTCACTGTGATGATATTTTCCCCTTCGTATTATGCACAATTTTAAGACCTTTAATTTACGGCTTACTTACTCTCCTGACATCTCTGCTGGAAAATTTTAAACCTTGTGTTTTACTTTAGACTATTTCTTCAAAGATGACTCTTCTAAATAATTTCAGTGATAAGAATCTTAAACACCAAGAGGAAACACTGAGCACAGTTCATTGAATTCATGTGAGGAGAAGCCTTTACTGATAATTCAGTTTCTGATGGTACTCACTGTGAAGAAGAAGCAACAGGGTTATTTTTAGGTTCTTTGAATAGAAATAAAGCTGCATGACAAGACACAATGCAGATGCAAAAAGTGACAGAGCCAAACTAAATAAACCAGAAAGTTCAGTGCATCTTCAAATCTTTGCATCCTACTCCAATCTGGTGCAGCAGAGTTCACTTATGACTTACTTGTTGACCGAAACCTTAGGAATTTTGAACTTGCACAATGCAGTCAACTAAAAAAAGTCCTGAGCCAAAAGTATAAAACTGAGTTATGAAGCTAACAGATGGCAGAGACATGTCTGCAAATGGCTACTGTTGGTAAAGAACGGCAGCGAACGTGAGCTACTTGATGTAGGACAGAATGAATTATTTTTCTTTTTTCCTTTTTTTTTCTGAAGAGATTCAGTGATGGGTTTTGGGTTGGTTTCTTTGTGGGGTGTTTGTTGGTTTGTTTTTTACATCCAAATTTTTAAAGGAAACTCTTGGTGAATTCTGTCATTCCAGGTGACTTACTGAGTCCAATGTGTTTGCATTACCTGATTTTCCATATATTTATTCCATACTGATCTGGTTTCTCTGACCTCTCTTGCTTTAAAGAACATATTGCATGTGGTAAGAATCTCTCATTAAAGTGTTCAGTGCTTAAAAAAGACACAAAAAACACACTGAAGTCCTTTGCTATGTCCTGTAATCCCCAAGGTCCCTCTTTACACCTCTATTATCAAGCAGTTGACCTAACTCTTGTCTTTGACTTCATGCTCTTGATTTATTTAAGACTTTCTACTATCATTTTCAGCATATTTTGCAGGAAGGTCATAAAAAATTCTTAATCGTCCCTCCTAATTTCCTGTGTATATCTCATCTGCCATTTATTATGTGCTTTCCTGTTCTTTCCCATTTGGGTAAACTTGGTTTCTTAAGTAGTGAACTTTTCCCTATGACAGTGTCCTTAATTTCTCTACTCATTCATGCAGGAGTGTTCATTTGGTGTGGTTTGGGTTGGGAGTTTTTTTTGGACCGAGGGGGGGAGGGTGTGTTTGTTTATGGTTTTGGGTTTTTTCCCCTTGGTGGTTGTTTATGGGGTTTTTTTTGTTTTGTTTTTGGAGTTTTGGTTTGGTTTTCTGTTGTTTTGGGTTTCATTCGTGGTTTTTTTCATTTGCTTTGGGGTTGGAATTTTTTGGGAGAGGGCTAGGGCGTGATTGGTTGGCTGTTCTACTTGTGGCATTCATTGTACTTGGATAAGCAATGCAATTAATGCAGTATTTCTACAGTTTTTTTCTGGATCCTAGTGAGGTACTTGCTTTTTGAGGTGCTGCTTCTATGGTTTTTTACCTGTTTTCTAGGGGTTTTTTATTTGTTTGTTATTTTATCATATCCAAAAATGTGATCTCTTCATGTCCTTTTAATAAGGCATCTATCCGCTCTATATGTGGGTTCTCCAATCTCACATAATGTTTCATAATTGATGTTGTCACTTTGATCAGGTGGTCAGCAGTGCAATCCTAGTATTAATTGTGTATTATTAGACTCTGAAATTTCTTACCCACAGAGATTCCATCGCATTTTCCTTTTCCTGTCATACTTTTATGCTCTTACACTTTGTATTAGCCTTTGCATACTGCCCTTCTGCTGTATGTGCTACACTGCCATTCTTACCAAGTTGGTTGCCTGACGATGCTCTGTCCTACTGATTATTCTCCTTCCACCACGTTTTTGATATGCGCATTAATTTGGGATGATTCACTGATGACTTGTTTTCATTCCCCCATCTTAATTTTATGTTCCTAGCATTGGTGTAGAAGCATTTGAAAGTTTCGCTTAAGGATGTGCCAATTAATTAAAGATGTTTTGATGACCTTTCCTTATTTATCCTGATGGTAGTTTTTATCCCCTTCCCCCCAGCCTTTTCTGAGGCACATTGAATATTAGTTACATCTGCTTCAGTGGCATGTCAGTCTGAAGCAGGACCTGTTCCATGCTTGTTGGCTTTCCTCAGCTTTCTGTTCTAAAATGGTTTTAATTTCTGTGCTGGCAACTGGGCTGTGTTACTTGTAAGGTACAGTCTGTCTTTCCCTGCACATGTTCTTCCCATTCAAGTAGTTTCCCCAGTTCCTAATATACCTAAGTCCCTTCCCACCTACACTGTTGTCCTTGGAGGCTTGGGATCTCTTGGAAAATGGAAAGTGTCTCTTTATACTATGGGTACAGAATACAGTGAAGACAAGAGGAAGACCAAATACCTTCAGCCTTCAGATCGGACTCCCTGAACTGAGCAGTGCAGGGGGTGGCTGGAACATTGTCCTGCTGTTTTAGGCAGATAAGTACAGATTGTATCAGTCCTGAGAAACAAGAAGGTGTAAGGATGTTACAGACTCCAGAGCAGGTATCAGATGTATCTCAGCCAGGCTAATGAATAAGTCCATGATGTGAATGATATTATGCATTATAGGCAAAATGGGAACAAATAACAGCAATAACAGCAAAGAGGAATGGGGATAAGAGGTGTGATTGCAGTGTGGCATAATGAACAGTTAGGTCTGCTGATGCATGACAGAACAATGCAGCTCAGAGCAAGCCCTCAAACTGGACGGCCTTCTCTTCAGACAGTCAAATGTCTACAAAATCCAACAGAAAATTTGGCTGTCCTACTTCAGTACTACATGAGAGACAGAAAGGATTTTCAGTCTCTTTGGTCATCTCTTCACCTGCACAGCGTATCCGTTTCAATTTGTGACCGTGTTGATCAAATGGACACAAACATATTCTGGTATTTGCTTTCTGATCCTCACAAATTCTGCCAATCTTCCTTGCAAAAAAGTGACTGTAGTTTTAAGGATTATAAATGTTGTTTACTGGGGCCCCCAGGTATATCCCATAGCATTCTTGTTTGATTGTGCAGGTATCCCATCTAGTTTGTAAGTGGCTGCAGTAGGTCTTTAAGTATTTAATCCTCCCATGCTATGGTTAATGTGGTAATGCCACTCTTTGTACCAAAAATCCATCTTCCATGAATTATTTTTCTGTCATTTTAGGCAAGACAAAGCAAGTAAGACCAAAAAAGATGCCTCAAAGATAGATAGTTCAAAACATTGAAGTCTAAAATGTAGATTACTTCTCAAAAAAATTAGTTGTAATTATTGTTAAATGATTTCTTCTTTTCTTGTCAACAGGAAGATTCGGCCGACTGCGGTGGTGTCTCTGGTCTGAGTCCATCACTGTGGTCTATGGTAGGAATTCAGTTGGTCCTGCTTTGGCTGTTATCTGGCAGCAGACACTGCCAGTTATGACCTTGCTAAACCAAAACCTGCGTAACTTAATCAAGACCTGGCCAAAACGATAGCCTCAGTTTCATTTTAAAAAGGGTCAGCTATTCAGACAGCAGCAGAACAGCAGTGCTCGTGTCTGGTTATCACTCGTTGTGAGACTCATAAAGGCACCCACAGTTGCTGCATGTTGGAGTGTCGGATCCTTAAACGTGTGTGAATGCTGCATCGTCTACGCCATCCGAACAGAATTCTGAACGTGCTCCACTGGGGAATCTAAGATTTTTTTTTTTTCATTTGTTTGTTGTAATCTGATGACTTCATGTAAAAGGGCTCCCCTGACAACAGCTTATGTATAAGATTTTCATTTCTTTTAAGCTTTGGATATCTTGAAAATCTATATTCTTTTACCTGAACAGTTATTTAAAAAAAAAAATAGGAAAAAGAAAACATACTCCCCAATATACACTACTAGCACCATGAAGGTCCCCTTGACCATCAGTTTTGTCCAAAATAGTTGAGTAAAAGGAAAATATTGTCTTTATCAGAAGTTCAAAATTATTGAAATGCTTTATGATGAGTTGTTTATTCTTCCAGAATGAATCATGTAGCCTGCTTAGTTTTGAGGGAGGAAGGAAGGAAGAAGGAAGGAAGGAAGGAAGGAAGGAAAGCAGGCAAATTCTATTTTTAAAAAATATAACGGTGCTTAAGAGTTTAACTAAAAAGTGATTTTCATCTTAAACTTGTTGTCATCTTCTGTCAGAAAAGGTTAATTTCAATGTAACATTCACCTCCTTTTCAAAAAGCAGTTATATATAAAGCTAGTCAAATCCTTCAAAGGCTCAAACAAAAACGCTTGTGAATAAAAAATGTTTTTGTGATATTTGAACGTTGGTTTCCAAGGGTGTTTTGCATGATGATGATGCTATGTTACTGTTTTTCAGTTTGTTTTCTTTGATGGTAGAGTATAGTCCACTGAAAAGGTAACTGAGTGATTATTGTGTGAGAAACTCAACATTGCAATGTGTTGCAATTAAATCATATTAAATTATATTATGAAAAAGAGCTCTGAATATACTGTGCAATGAAAAAGCTGAGAAAATAGGGTAAATTTAGCTGTTGTAACAAAAGGGTTGAGATGGATTTTTTACAGAATAGTGATCTCACATGAAAATCTGTGTACAGATATTTTAAGTATATAAAAATCAGATTTAACACATTTATTTTTGGAAGTATATGTTCTCTAAGGTTCATATCAGGTTCCCCCTTTGTTTCCTTCATGTAAAAACACCCATAATACTAAAACTTCTGCTGTTGCTATTTAATATTAAAAATAGTGTATTTAACAGCAAAATGACCTGTTTGCTGAGTTTAGAAAAAAATCTAAACAAATGGGGAGCCTTGAATCTATATGTATGCACATTGATACTTGATTGTGAATAATAATTTTAGAAGTTGTTTTTCTACAACCTCATTGGTGATACAGATTGGTGCAGTAAATGACAATATTACAGTGTAGCATAGTGTTGATGCAAGATATGATTTGCGCTTTTTTCTAGTTTTCAGAACTAAACAGTATTGCAAGACAGCTAAACCAATGAATGTGCAACTCTGCTGGTATTGTACAATTCTGCTAACAACTGCAATATGCAAATATTAACATGGCACAATACACTAGCTCTTTAAAAAAATAAGAAAATGCAAAGCATTGGTATGTATATGCTGGCAATTGATTGATATAATTTTGATCATGCCGAAAGCTTAAAGAGATAATTGGGCATGCATTAATATCCTATGAAAACTGAAGAAGCTACTCAAAGCCATGGCATGGCTTCAAAGATCCAATGTCTACTGTAGTTGTACCCATGGGTGGTTCATTGTTTTTCTCATGTACCTTGGCTCCATCTGTGTATTTTCTCAATTTTGGGAATACAGTGTGTAGAAGGAAAAAAAAAACAAAAACAAAACCAAAACCAAACCAACGAACACTGACCTGTTCAGTGACAGATTTAGCTTTTAAAAAAATATCTCTAGTATAGTCATGGTGTAAAAAGTACAATTAACTGTGTTGGATGACTTCAGGTCCTCCTCAAGGAAGGTGAGCTAATATTGATAATATGGGTGAAGATAATCTTGGAGCTGTTCTTTCCACTCATATTATTACACTTCTCCACCCTATCACCAGGTACCACCAGATAAAAAATTGGTTTGAGTCTTTCTAATGCTGAGACTGTGTCCTGTATTCTTCCTTAACATGGTCAATTGAAATTCTATGGGAGGAACAAGTTTTGTAGAATTAGGCCAATGCTGACTGCACTCATAGCTTTTATTCTAAGATTACTTAAAATACATACTAGTTTGCATTTTGCTTTTTTAATTTCTTGAAAGATTGTCAGTATATTCTCTCTAGTTTTCACTTTGCTTCCTAAAAGAAACCCTTCATGGAAAAGTTAACATTTCAGAACAATTTGCTCGCGCTGGTAGGCCATATTCTGAGTTACTTAATAAACATTTGCTTAGATTCTGTAGGCAGAAAGACAAGTGGCACAAAGCCCTGCTGCTGCAGAAGAGAACTGGAGCTTTTGGTCTCACCCCACTGCCCTTAGAGTGCTCACATATAAAAGGAGGGAGAAGCCCATGCCATGCAGACACATTAGCCTTCTTGGGCTAGCCAAAGGGAGAAATGTCCTTTGTTTCTCTCCTCTCCCCCTCTATATTACCTGAAAAAACATGTTTCTATAGAAACACTTAGCCTTTCAGCTGTTGTACCTGTTTGATAGAAAACTCAGCATATGGTCCCCCCAGAAGAGCTTAGTACTGGCCTCATAGAACTCAATACTTTACACAGGAAAAAAATGAATTTTTTTCTTCTTTTTGCAAAAAGCAATATATATTTTGACAATAACTAAGTTACGGCCAAGATTTATTAATATGCACTACCGAGATAGCTTCAACTTACAGAACAGATAGAAAATGCAATGTGAACTTTAGCTATCTCTAGATGTGCATATCAGTCTGTTAGAAAGAACTTCTATTGATGAATACATGTTCTCATGCAGGAGAGTATCCTTTCTCCATATAATGCATGATAGTCATCATCCTCTCTTGTCTGCGAGAGAAGTAACTTGATCCTGGGCTTTAAACTGAGACATTTTCAAATTACGATATGTTGTAAAAAGAGGGTGGGGTTTTTTTTTAAGCCAGATAAAAAGCTGTGTCGATATTTTCTCAGATCCCTTAAGTAACACCAAGGGAACTGTTGGGACTGTTTCAGTTTACACAGAAGTCATGCAGCCTATTGTACGTCTGACAGATAACCACCATTAAAGTTGTTACCGCACGATACTGTGCAAAAACATGATCTGAGGACTTCACATGAAAGGTTTCTTTCTAGTTTTTCATTTAAACAACCAGCATTACTGCCAAAACACCGACCGTGGTCCATGTTTGTAACAGGTTTTTAACATGACACAGCAGGTTTGATTCACAAGATTTTTAGGTCCTGTACCTTTAAGACTTTAGTATGATCTTTTTCATGTTTCTAATGCTTGAGGCTTTACTGCTTAACTTGACAAAAAAACAGTGTTGCTGCCATTTGTAAGTTTTCCTATAATGTTCCTTTTACTAACTTAAAAACTGGCCTTACTGGGTTCAAATAGGCAGTATCCCTTTTAAGTGACCTTTGCAACCCAAGTGTTACTTGCTGCGGCTGAGAGATTTTCGGTATCGCTGGAGAGTCATAAAGACCTTTTGTTCCCATTAACAGAAATGGGAACAGCATCTCAGAAAATGTCCATAGCATGTCTTAATTTCAAACCACAACCTCAGTCCCACTGCTCCTAAAAATTCGGATGCTGGCAGGCTGGTTATTAAGAAGTTTATTAATGCCTACCAAGGCACTGCAACGCGCTCGGGTGTTTCTGGAATGTCAACTGAAGGTGAAATCTTAATAACTCTTTCCTTAGGATAAATTTTACCCTAGCTTCATCAGATATCCAAGCCTTTAACAAAGGCCAGATGTATTATTTTTTTTCATACCACAATGTTAATATTGTTAATACTCATTGTACACTACTGTAAAAAGATTGAAACAAAGTGTCTGAAAACAATTCAAGAGTTCTGAAAAGTTAGCCTCACCCTCTTCCCAGCTACTTGCATCTGTCCTGTTTATAGTTTCAAACAAAAACATCAACTTGAAGAAATAATTTCACTGAGGCTAAAGGGATACTGTCTTGTTCAGATGCCATGAAACTGCGATTGTGATCTGACAAAGCTGTCTTCTCTTCTTGTGCTGTATGGAATGTCTGGATCATGCTTTCTGGGCTATTTTTATTGAAATGCTCAGTGTGCGTTTCTGAGACAAAAGGCTTGGTTGCTCTTACAAGGCAATCAGGTCTTTTTCCCTTTTCTTGTGTTCTCTTGACACTTTTGTGGAACTTGACAAGCCTGGAAAAATAATTTTTTGTAAAAATTTGTACAATAATGTTATAAAAAGTTTATAATCCTACAAATGTTGTGTTAATTCTTGTGCAAAAACAGTATATTCAGAATAAAAGTTTATCATTTAAAATCAACAACTACTTTGAGTTTTCACTCTGTATAATTAAAACATGTAAATGAGAGCCTAGATAATTTGCTATATAATACTTCTGAGTTTGCTGTATCGTTGCACCCAGGTGTCTGAGAGAGAGAGATTTTTCTGTGTGGAGGCAGTGACTTAACACACTTCTTACTGGGGTTCAGAGGAGGATCTGCAGCAAACCCTGCTTTCTGCTTCATTTGTGGCTGTGAAAATTTCAAAAAAGTTAAACAAAAATTGCAGCCAATGAAAACTGAGAGTCTGTAAAGCACTTGTATAATAATAGTCTGCAAAGCATCTGAAGTAGCCCTGTTGTTCTGAACAATTGCTTTTGGAGGGCTTGTCACTTAATAACTTGTAAACATTGAAGTCCAAGGGTTCATTCACACGAAGCAGCAGAATAAAATCAGATGGCGCAGATGGGTGCAGCCCGCGTTGTTGCCCGTCCTCTGACAAGGATTGCTGCGTGATTTACGGATCGGCTTCTGTCCTGCTGTCATTCTCAGCTACGCATTACATTCCGAGTGGGTCTGTGTACCTTAATAAACGGGTCTGAGATGTCCAGTGTTGCTTCACTGCCTTTTCGGACGTTCTGCGGTGGCACTGGCGGTCTCCATCAGAAGGGCAGGGCAGATGGCTCCAAGGGGTAACTGCTTTAGAATCCTGATTTTAATCCTTGACTCCGTATGTGTTGAAGCCCAAAAAGAATGGCTGTTGTAAATTACTGCTGGATTTACCGAATCCCTGAGGAGTCAGATAGGAGAGTAAGAAATCAAATGCAGATTCTAATGCTGCAAAGTAACAGATCGCCCATGTGGAAAAGCTAAAAGGCAGCACATAACACTGCTCA